TGACTGAATCTTTTCTTAATTTTGTTTTGATCTCACTCTGAGAGCCTTGAGCTGCATCTGTCATTTTAACAAAGTGTATGTAAAGTTTAGTTTACCATAGCTCACCAGATCTATTTTGCATATTTTTGGTCCCTCTGTAGTCACATGAAATGGTCTGAAACATGTTAAATTAATAAATCATTAAAAATAAAACATATTTGGTCTTATTATGTTGACAGAAAAAGTCCTGGTGATAAATAATGTAATGTATTTAATTCTTAATAAGTGAGAGTATCTTAGTGCTAGTGGGCTGGACCCTGAATGATTACTTGCCCCTAAATTTTTCCTAAAATTTTGTAGAGACAATTGTTACTAAGCCATTCAAGTAAAGCTATTTATCATTTTGCATCTTTAGGAATCTGCTCAAGTATCCACTGAAGTAAGTCATTATTTAAATAAAATCAGTATCATTAGTAATATTTTATTTTGTGTTTCTCTAATAAATGCTTTGGGTTTTAACAGAAAAATGAACTGAATAAGGAAGAGATCTACCTAAAGCAGATGGTAAGTTTTCATACAATCTATTATTTCAAGTAAAAATATATTTTACAATTATTTCTTCTTCCAAGAGATCATATCGTTTCTTCTCAATGAAATATTTAGCACCACATTTATGATAAAATTACTTTTTTCTATTGTAGTTACTGTGATATGTAAACACTATGTTAACAAATATATCTGAGTTATCTTTTAAGAAAAATGAGCAATACGACTAAATTTGAAAGAATTACAAACATAGTAATAAATTATGAGGCTGGGAACAGTGGCTCAAACCTGTAATCTTTGTACTTTGGGAAGCTGAAGAAGGAGGATTGCTTGAGACCAGAAGTTCAAGACAACCTAAGCAACATAGCAAGACCTCAACTCAACAACAACAAAAAAGAATTAATCTAATTGAGATATCATCATAGTTTAACAAATATAAAATTCATCACTCAGCTCTATGAAGTAGCAACCAGAGTTGACAAGCTCTTAATTACTCATATTTTAAGCCATAGGAAGTCACGTTACTCATCCTCTGTGGGCTAGAGAAATGTGCAGTGCAAGGAAAGAGGATAGGTTTCAGAGTCAAGTGATTTCCCTTTGAACTTCAGTTTTTCAAGTTATTATTTAACCTCTCCACCCTACATTTTCCTCTTCTGAAAATGAATTTAGTAATGCTAATCCTACAGGTTTTTATAAGGATGATGCTAGATAATACACATAAATTAAATAATCAATTGCTTGAAAAATTTTAAGATGTACCAAAAGTACCAATTATTATTAAATATAAACCCAGAAAATTCATTTTAAATCTTTTATAACAGAAATAGCTTCTTATTGAGCATGTTAAAACAAGATTTCTAAGATAAAACTATCTTATTTTTAGAAAATTCCAAATGCCCTAGTAATTTTTTTATACTTTGTCTAAATAAATTAATTGCATTCTTCCCTTGTAACACTACTGTTGTAATCATGTGTCCATTTAACCCTTATTCCCAAGCAATTCAAAAAACACATGTTTTATGTACCTATTTATTTATCTATATCAACTGGAAATTCTCCAAGAGTGAAGATGTCATTTTAAGTGATTCCACTTTTAATTTCTAAAGAAATTTTTGGTTAAGAATTCACAGCAAAATCAAGGAAGAAACATACTAAAACATTTTTCAGATGCACATGTGTGACAGGTACTATGCAAACGACTCTTCATATTTCAATCCACGTAAAACTTCAATGTAGGTGATGCTTATGAGAGGTAAAGCAACCAGCCCAGGGGAAAGGGATGTAAACTGAGTTGTCCCTGACTCTAACTACAAAGCTTCTGCAACCAGATGTGGAAAAATGAATGAAAAACTAAGACAAATTTCTTAAGAATCCTCCACTTCCCTTCACACACATTCTTTTGCTCTTTGCACTCAGTAAAAAGCTTGACTTCAACAGGAATACTAAAATAACCACATGATTTATTTAATTCTGAAGTTTACTTTTTTAATGTAAGCACTGTGATATTGAATTTTATATTGAAAATGCTTCTCCTTGGTCAATTTTATATAATTTAGATATTATCTTAAAAAGTTTTAAATTTAGTTTCGCTCAGATACGCTCTAATCCATGAATAAAATTCAATACTAAGGTAAATACATTTTCTTTCTTTTTAGAACAAAATCAACCAGCATTACCTAGACTTTCTCAAATATCTTCAGGCTTCTCACCAACTGCAGGTAGTTATGAACCCAGAGAATCAAATTAAGACAATAACCTATTGTAATAGTCCCATTCCAGTGAGTTCTGCATTTTTGTTTGCTTTTTTCTTACTTTCTTGTGAAAGAAAACATAATTAAATTTACTGGAAGGAAAATGTTCCAATCAGTTTGAATGTTGAAATTGAAATACATTTAAATAATATTTTCTAGAATAGAAATAAACCACAAGTCATTAGCTAAAATACTACTAAAAAGCACTAGTAACAAGATTTATAAGTATCAATCCGCCTTACCCCCCAGATTTACATGCCCTCAAAAGATCTCCATTTATCTATGGTGCTCAAAGTCTTTGTTACTTCGCTTATCTCTGTATCTTAGGTATTTGCCATGGCAGGTTTTGTTGTCTCCTTGACTTTAAAGTCAATTAGAGAGTAAAGGTAAAGTGCGGAATTGCATATGCTATATATACATCCAACTTAGGAAAAGAGAAGAAAGATACTTCATGATCAATTTTTCACATGGAAACAATAGTTTCTTCTCCCTTAGACTCCACTAGGCTTAACCACCTCTTTCTTATCTTTTTGTTTTTTAATTGGCCTCAATCATTTCTCTTACTAAAATATTTTTACTTAGCTAAAAGTAAATTACAGTTTTTAGTGGATGGTTAACACACAAATGTTTTGCCACATTTTGATTTTAAAGTCAATTATTTATATAAAGACAATGCTTTAATGTTCAAAGCTTCTCTTTGGTAGAGGACAAAACTAAATACACATTTTCTTATCCGAGGAATAGCACATTTCCACATATAGTATTCTACACTTTAAAAATGTGTCATCTTTAATAACTATAATTCAATAGTTGTGCCAACCCTTAAATATGATAAATGAATTAAATTAGTAATTTCTATTAGGTACAGAAACATTTGTGTATTGCTATTGTAGGAAACTACAAGAATTTAATAAAGGAAGACTCATTTTACTCAACTTTTTCCAGAAAGGAACAAGTATTCCACTTGATGAATTAGGTCATAAAATTGAATGTTATTCTTTACATTTGCTATTATGCAGAAAAAAGAGCATCATTTATCTAGTGAGATAAGGCAGTTTTTCATGTAGACAACATCTTGGCATCCAGTGCCAGATATTAAATTCTGTACAAGGCTGCCTTTATTCCAATTTTTTATTTTTTATGCATAAGATAAGCATTACAGAATTAGAAAAAATAAAAAGTTCAGCAAGGTTAAGAATACTTTGTGGATGCCAACTACAACTGCAACATCAAAGTTAGCAAGATTAGATTTGTACAGGACCAGGCTCCAGAAAACTGTTTAATACCATTTCTTTCACCAGCAGTCACTGAATAACAATATTACTTCAGGAGTCATGGCATCCATTCTCTATTTTGTAAACTGGACAAGAGGAATTTATTATATGCTTTCTGAGTAAAGACTCAACTTCATAGATTGTTAATTTTCAAATATGTTTCTACTAATGGTGCATAACATATGCCAAGAGATACCCTGAACATCACCTAATGATTTGCCTAGTTTTGTCCTCTTGTGGAAAACTGTGAAACTGCATGGTGGAAAGTAATATCTTAATTGATATGTAATTAAGGTGTCTTATCTTTTCTTTTCCTAAGGAATCTACCAGCATCTCCCAAGAAGTAAGTCGTAACTACTAAAATTAAATAAAAATTTAAAGTTATCTTTTATTTCATAAGTTTTAAAAAGTTATTTTTTATTTCATAGTAATTATGAAATAACTGTGCCAAAGTGCTGAGATTATAGGTATAAGCCACCAAGCCCAGCCTGAAACTTCATTTTTTAAAACCGCACAGTATGAAATCTAGAGCCTGTCAATTGCTATCACTAAAGTTTTACTCTCTCAGTATTAGTTAGGAGATAACTAATATTAATTAGGAGATGGCAAGTATAATCCACTAGGGTGAATTATATGACTTATTTGGTGACTGCCACAAGAAACACCTATTGTACTAGAAAAATCCAGGTAAGTGAGTATAATTGGAAAAGGTCCTGGAGAAGGGAGAAGTATGAACTGTGAGCTGGAGTCTGGTGACCTGGGGCACAATCCAAGGTCTTCCTCATCAATGCCTTAGGAAGCATGTTTTATTATTTCTTTCAATCTCAGTGTAAGAGCCCATACCACTTCTAGAAAGGGCATGTGAACTTTGGTTTATAAGGGAGACCTGTGGGGATCGCTCCCGTGTGAGGCCCCTAGGAAATGGGTCTCGCCAGTAGTGAGCTTGAGCCCGGACACAGATCCCCGGTTGGGGGAGTCGAGCTGAGGGAAAGCAGGAACCGAGTGAGGAACTATATGTTATTCAAAATAATTAACAGACATTACTTTATGGATATGAGGACTTGGGAGGCATTGTGTCTACTTTCGGCTTCTTATAGTTTATTGTCTCATTGTGTTCATTTTGGACCCTTGTTACCCTCATTGTAAAATATTAAGTATTTACACTTGGTAACTTACTTACCATAACTTGCTGGGTGTAACTGTAACTTACTTACCATAACTTACTGGGCGTGACTGTAACTTACTTACCGTGACCTATTGGGCGTAACCTACTTACTGGAAGTAACCTACTTACTGGGCGTAACCTACTTACTGGGCTTAACTTACTTACTGGGCGTAACTTAGTGGGCGTAACTTGCTTACTGTAACTTAAGTTCGTTGATCTGGCGTAAACAACTTTAACTTCAGAAAAGTATATAATGAGACATATTGCGAAAATAAAATTGCTGCATGGGCATAGCGCATGTAGCCCTCCGGACCTCGCTCTTTTCTATCTCCTCTTTTTTTCCGGTGCACGCTCTCTTCCAGGTTTGGGACCCTCTCGCTGGACGAGATTCCCAGGCTCGCGTTCAGTTCACAACAGGTTTACATCACACCTCACCTGGCCCATATATATGTTCATTGTTTTACCTGACTACTCTCTGTTGTCATTTTATACTGTCTGAACAATACACCTGGATGAAGACTTTGTAATAACGCGTATCTTTGTGTCATTGTTAACACAGATTGTGTGCTCTAATAATGAATGTTTTAATGTAATGATTATTAATTGATTTCTCTAATCAGTGGTTAAGATCGCTTCTCATTAACAATGGCTTGGCTCTGAAAATTTTCAATTAGCTTTAGCTCTTTACTATAACTAGTTAGATACAATTACTGGTGTATCATACAAGTAAAGCTGTTTTTCAATATCTTTCCTTTAGGAATCTGCTGAAGTATTACCTGAGGTACGTAATTATCTTTGAAACAAAATACAATATTACCCAGTAGTAATTTCTTTTGTTTTCATACCGTCGTTTTTTGTCGTTAACAGAAAATAAAGACAAATGAAGAAAAGAAATACCTGAAACAGCTGGTAATTATTTCATAAACTTACAGTACAAATAATATACATATACATACACACACATATATACTTGTATATACATTTGTATATATAATCTCAACTCTTTCTTCCCCTCAACTTTCATATCATCGAATTCTAAATAAATATTTAAAATCTAATTCAAAATCTATAGTAGCTCTGTTGTTATAGTGGTATGCACCCTTTTTTTCAAATAAATATGAATGTCTCTTTTAAGAAAAACAATTTTAATCAATTGATTTTTGAGCAGTTGCCGATCTTAAAAAATAATGATTGCATTGCAAATGATTTAATCGAGGTACTCGTATAGCACATCTACATTCCAACGTGTCTTTGACAGTATGCTATGACCTGATTTCCCAAAATTAAAAAACGGTTAGTGACTATTTTCAAACCATAGTTCTTGTAGCCAATCAGAGTGGTCTAGAGGGGTATGTATCTTAGTGAAAGGACATGGGCTTTGGAGTCAGGCAGTTTATATTCCAGCTGCAGCTCCATCCTTTTTTATGGCTGTGACATTTTTTAAAGTACTTTATTCCTCTCAGCTACAGTAGCTTCAACAGAAAAGTGAACATGTAAATATACTCCTGACTTTAATTTTTTTGGTTAGGATCCTTTCAGGTAATATATGTAAACTGTATAATACAATAAATGTACTATAGTAGCAATATAAAGTATTATGGTCATCATCCTCCTATACACTGCAATTTCTTGTAAAATTTCTGTAACAGAAGTACTATTTGCTTCAATATTCTCAAACTAATTCTCCCAAGTAAAAACCTTTCTGGTTTCATAAGTTATAGTTGCTATGAAGATCTTTATATTTTGTCAAAATGATCCCAGAAGAACTCTACCATTGTATCAATTGTATATCATAGTCACAGAGCCCGTCAACACTTGCTGTGTGTTTGTAAAAACTGGAAATTATCCTAGGTAAAGTTGTCATTTTAATTCCATCTTTATTCCCTACAATAATCTATAAGGTTTATGAAAAATGCTTAAAGAAAGAACTTGGACATAGCGAACATTCATTATACATAAAATAGGTGACCAGCTATAGAGAATGCTCTCTCTTTGTTAACTTAATTCTGCAATGTAAGTGATGATCAGAGAGCTTAAGCAACAAGATCAGAATCATAGATTCCAATGAACAAAATCTCAAAAAATTATGCTGAGCCTTACTGACTCTAAAGATTATATACAGAAAAAAATAATAATAAACCACAGCACTTACCTCTGTAATTCAAATAATTTTCCTCTTGGCTTCTTACATATAAATTAATTTTTTTCTCTTGGACATCTTTGTGTGAGCTTCAGAATTAGAGACTCTCTTTAAGTTCACTCCATAACATAAATATTTACAGTAATTTTTACATAAATAAACTCTCCTTCTGCTGGGTCTACCAGGAATAATTTTTAAATTATGTAAATATGTAAAGTTTTAATTCATATGCTTCAATCTAACTCTCTTTTGAACTCTGGAAGAGATTAAATGTGGTGTAATTATTAATAATTTTATTTATTTCTAGATGAAAGCCAACCAGTTTCTCCAGAAGTTCGCTGTCCCCCAGTATGCCCAGGCTGTTCCTCTTGCAGTCTATCAACCTGTGGAATCACATTCAGGAAAACACCTACCCATATATTCTAATTTGGGTATGTTTGCCTTTTAAGAATATATATATATAATTATGTTTTGTTAAAAAGGAGATAAAAAGAAATAAAGAAGAATAACTCAAGGTATCACGAAAATGTTAAATCAAATTTAAATCAAAATGTCAAGGCCAGTAATGAAATAAAAATCACCTGGTTCAAATATAACTGCAATCATAATCCTAGGGACGAAGAATTGCATTTATATTCTATTTTAATTTTCTAAACATTTGTGTATATAGTTTCTTGATTTTTACAGTAATTCATTGAAATATAAAGATAGACATAATATTAATTTTATTTTATAACAGAATCTGAAATTAAAAGAAGTGGATTCAATTTTCCCAGCTATATTTAATAGTTTACCTTCATCTAAGTCTTTTGGCTTAGAACACCTTTTCTTTAACAGAAGAAGTAAATGGCAGAGCAGAAAATTGGATCTAAAAAGGTGAAAATTGGCCTGGCTCAGTGGCTCACGCCTGTAATCCCAGCACTTTGGGAGGCCGAAGTGGGGGAGATCACCTGAGGTCAGGAGTTCAAGACCAGCCTTGTCAACATGATGAAACCCCGTCTCTACTAAAAATACAAAAAATTAACTGGGCATGGTGGTGGGCGCCTGTAATCCTAGCTACTCAGGAGACTGAGTCAGGAGAATCACTTGAACCTGGGAGGTGGAGGTCACAGTGAGCAGAGATCACACTATTGCACTCCAGCTTGTGCAACAAGAGAAAAACTGTGTCTCAAAAAAAAAGGTGAAAATTTAGTATAAATATTAATACATTTGGCATCAGAAGTCCTAAGACTAGGTCCAAGATCTGATAATTCTCTGGATTGTTTTATTTTTCAGATGTGATTGAATTTTTTAGATAGGCATGTAACATTTGGAGGGCTTTTATCATTATCATTATAGAAAATAAGACTTTCTTAATTTAGATTTAAATGTTAGATGTCTGAAATTGTTTCTAAATATTTCAAGTGAGTTATAAATAGCTTTTGTATATCAAAATGCATTATTCTTTTTCTTTTAAGAGGAACTTGTAAGATTCTTGAATTAACTGCTGCAATGTGAGCTTGGGTAAGTACCTTTAAGCATATTCATTAAACAAAAATTTAAATAGGATCTTCAGTTAAAAATACAAAATCAAAGAGATAATTTAAATAATTTAGTTAAATTTTCTTTAAATCAGAGATTGGCTTATAAAATACTTTAACTTTTGATATAAACTTTCTGATTCACAAAGAAGAGTTGTCTGTGTAACTTGCAGGCATATTTTTCCTGCAAATTTTAAAAAATAAATTATGGAAAATTTTCCCCAGAAGTAATGACTCTTAGAAGAAATCTTCACAAAGTCATGGCTATGCTACTTCGAAGTTTGCCTTTTGACTTTCATCAGTTCTGGTTGGAAAACATATACATATTTTTAGCAGATTTTTTTAAATTTTACGATTTGAGCTACTTTATACACATTTTTCCTGCAGCAATTTCTCTGGCAAAACCCATATAGATAGAGATAGAGATAAATAGATAAAGCCTATTTTCCTACTTGTGATCACTGTCATTGCCTTTGAGATTCTAATCAAGATTGCATTTGTATCTATAATAGATTTAGATTCTGATAGAGCATTAAGTCAATGGTGAGTTATAGTCATGGTTCACTTTATTTAGTCTCCTTTTTTCCTTATGTTCCCATTATAATTATTAGAGATTTCTCCACTCTGAAATTTGATCTCCCTCAGTTTGTCTCCTTTTGTTCTCTCTACATCTCCTAAACTTAGGTTGTTGGTCAAAACCTATATGCATAGGTATGCAAAATAATAAGTACACATCATCATGACAAAGGGTGCAACAGCAAATTTGATAATAGTAGTAGCTGATGCTTAGAGTGTGCCAGCACAGTTCTAAGCTTTTTTCCAATATTAACTAGTTTCATGATTACATAAACCTGTGAAGTTGTTACCATTATTAACTCATGTAATTAATGTATAAATGAGACAAGCACTGCACAAAAAGGTTACATAAATTGCCCACGACCACAGTGTATGTGATAAGTGAAAAAGCCAGGATTCCAACCTAGTGTCTGAACCAGGTCACTTCCTCTGAAAGACTCCACTGTTGAGGCAACACTGTATCCATGTTCAGGAGTTCAAGAATAATGTAAAAGGGCATTGGTCTTACAGCTTGAGGTTATTTTTGCTTGGCTCTCCTGATGATGGAAACAGATGAAGCGACTCTTCCAAAAAACCTTATATGAGAAAAATAATAAGATAATAGTTATGGATGAGAGCTCAGGTTGCAATTGTATTTTCTGAATGGTAATATTCACTTTGATGTCATTTATTCATTCTGTATTTTGAAATTGCTTATCATGAGTCCCATATTGTAGGAAACTTGGTAAGTAAAATGTGATACTTAACATTTCTTAACCTCAGTTTTAGAAGGAGAAATAGGTTTACAAAGAAGTTTACTGAGTGCAAAATTAGAATTGTGAGCATGATATCATGGTAGAATAAAAAAATTAATTGGATCAGATTAAGGCCTGAACCTTTGGGTAAACCAGAAATAAACAAAGCAAGGCAATAGCAGAACAATATTATAAGGCAGAAGTAAATTAAATTGACAGAATATTTACAAAATAAAGCTATTAATAAAAATATTTCCAATATAATGGATTATGAAGACCTTACTTTCTAAAGGTTTTTAAATTTTTTTCCAAGACAACGTTTTCCCGGTGTAATTATTTGACAAATCTCAAATCCAAATACATCAAGGAATACTCATTATAGGAAGTAATACTGTATTTTATGTCTAGTAAACTACTTGGAAATTAAGTAAATGTTTCTTCAAAATTGGATGAGAGATGTAAATATTTCTTATTTACTGGGAGCATTAGATAGAATCTTTGCATAACACAGTGAAGAATTTGGCTATTAACTATCAATCATTTAGACATTTATAAAACAAATATTAACAGCCTACTATTTTAACACTAGAAAATATCAATTAGAAATAACTATAATTATATTCTATTGCACTATCATGCATGTTCAAATGTGTATATGTATTTTGTGCATATGTATTTTGCATATTATATGTAGTATATGTATTCTGGAATATAAATTTTATAGATAATCCAATATTTTTCTTTATTCATAGGTATGACTAGAAAAAAATTATTCCTTTATAATTTCTTCGTCTATCACATCACCTCCTACTACCAATATATTTTGGCATGCTTCATGAAAAGTCAAGAGTATTGAGCCAAAAGAAGATTGTGGAATATTTCCCATATTGGTTATAATCTTTTTAGTTTGTGTTAGATATGCCAGATCTGGATTGTGGCATCAAATTTACTGTACTGATGATTAAATAAGGTCTTTTCTCCATTATCTTTGAGCTATAGAACTGTATATCACTTGCCAAAACATTAAAATTTCAAACAAACTTTTAGCTGGTGTTTTGACTTTTTTTCTTTTCATTCTTCATACTTAGAGAGACCAGGCCACTATTACTAGAATAAACCAGATTGAATGTCACTGAAATAACTTGGTACACATTTGAGGCCCTTAATTTCAAGGTTGTCTGTCATGTTACATACTTACAGGTCTCAACCACAACTGTATTCTGAACCCTTATTGGCCCTCATTCTAATATCTCTCTAGTTTGTCCCTGCTTCCATCTGTCTATCCTATACAACTTGCTCCAGAGTTCTCAAGTCTCCAGTTTGTGCCTGGCTGGTTGGTAATCTGCAATATCATTCCATAAAAAGTGATTCAGTCACTAACAAAGTATAGCTTTGAAAGCCTTCCATCGGGGTTTAGACTTGTTTCAACAAACATTTTATACTTAGGATACATCAGCCATTTTTCTGTATGCTGTACAGCTAAAAACAAAAACAAGACCTTGGTTTAAGGGCACTTATATTTTATAACATTTTAATCATTGGAGAAAGACAAAAAAAAAAAACAAGAAAAGAAGCAAGACAGGGTATGCCACGTGGTGACAACTGCCCTAAAGTAAAAGCAGAGGATGGGGAGCATATTTTACACAGCAGTGGTCAAGGAAGGCAATTTGAGCAAGTCATGGTTTGATGTGAAGTGAAATTAGTGTGGGAAGGAGCTACAGAAATACAGTCCCAATGGGAAAAAAAGTAAAAGAAAATTCACTAAAGTGGGTGAAGGTGGGAGGAGTGAAGATTATCATGGCTTTGCAATTTGCCTTAAGCAGTTGGTTGGAGCTGGTAGCTGGGAGTCATTTGCAGGTGAGTGTCATATAGCATATGTTTTGGAAAGATGAAAAAGGTAAAAGATAGGGGAATATTTACTGAACTTCAAAGAATACTCTAATCCTTTAAGGTTTCCCTCATTGTATTCACTTATTTCTTCTATTATTATTATTACACTTTGAGTTCTGGGATACATGTGCAGAATGTGCAGGTTTGTTACACAGGTATACACATGCCAGATTTGTTTGCTGCACCCATCAACCTGTCATCTACATTAAGTATTTCTCCTAATGCTATCCCTCCTGTAGCCCCCCACCCACTGCTATCCCTCCCCTAGCCCTCCACTCCCCAACAGGCCCCAGTGTGTGATGTTCCCCTCCCTGTGTCCATGTGTTTTCATTGTCCAACTCCCACTTATGAATGAGAACATACAGTGTTTGGTTTTCTGTTCCTGTGTTAGTTTGCTGAGAATGATGGTTTCCAGCTTCATCCATGTCCCTGCAAAGGACATGAACTCATCCTTTTTGATGGCTCCATAGTATTCTATGGTGTATATGTGCAACATTTTCTTTATCCAGTCTATTATTGATGGGCATTTGGGTTGGTTCCAAGTCTTTGTTATTGTGAATAGTGCTGCAATAAACATACCTGTATATACCCAGTAATGAGATTGCTGGATCAAATGATATTTCTGGTTCTAGATCCTTGAGGAATCGCCACACTGTCTTCCACAATGGTTTGACTAATTTACACTCCCCCCAACAGTGTAAAAGCATTCCTACTTCTCCACATCCTCTCCAGCATCTGCTGTTCCCTGACTTTTTAATAAAACTGGCTAGCCATATGCAGAAAACTGAAACTGGGCCCCTTCCTTACACCTTATACAAAAATTAACTCAAGATGGATTAAAGACTTAAACATAAGACCTAAAACCATAAAAACCCTAGAAGAAAACCTAGGCAATACCATTCAGGTAACAGGCATGGGCAAAGACTTCATGACTAAAACGCCAAAAGCAATGGCAACAAAAGTCAAAATTGACAAATGGAATCTAGTTAAACTTAAGAGCTTCTGCACAGCAAAAGAAATATCATCGGAGTGAACAGACAACCTACAGAATGAGGGAAAATTGTTGCAATCTGTCCATCCAACAAAGGGTTAATATCCAGAATCTACAAGAAACTTAAACAAACAACCCCATCAAAAAGTTGGTGAAGTATATTAACAGAGACTTCTCAAAAGAAGACATTTATGTGGCCAACAAACATGAAAAAAAAAGCTCATCATCACTGGTCATAAGAGAAATACAAATCAAAACTACAATAAGTGTCATTGCAGGCCAGTATGCCCACTTGGCTTCACTTCCTTGCCTATTCATCAAGACTTTGTCATTTATTATTTTAATAGTCTCTTCATAGTTCACATTGCCTCTCGACCTTTAACTATCCTACCTGGAAAAGCCCTAATCCTGGAAATGCCTAAAATCTACTTTTGCTACTATTTTGTCCAGACCCTGAAGTTCTCAACAAAAAAAAACAAAACAAAACAACTTCCAACCACACAGTTGTTCCCTTTGTAAGTTTATGTTCCTAAACTTTACTAAATACTCAAAACTGCTTACATAATATTTCCTTGTTGGAATAATAGTTAGCTATCATCATTTTTTCTTCTTCTCCAAAAACTTACCAGCTTCATTTTCTCCTCAAAGCCCAAATTCCCCCCAGTCCCTCCACCTCAGCTTCTTTACCAAAAGAGAATTTTCCCTTCCAGGACATAGAAAATACAAAAACCGTCTCATATTAACAACCTAAGCCTCCCAGTTTGATCCTTGTACAATACAATTTAAATATGAACACTGACTATCAACCATTAACTTCAAAGATATGCTGATCTTCTAGGCAATTGCTAACTTATTTTTCTTTTCCTTTTGACTCCTTAGCAAAGATATTTCTTTTTAATAAGAATGTTGTGAAAGTAGTAATGATTTTGACAACTAAAATCTACTGATTAACTGTAATGTGTCATGTGATTGATATATATTATCTCAGCGAATTCTCACAGGTATTAATAACTATGAAATGGAGGCAATTCTACTTTACCTTCCCCTCAAAAGCACTACTGCTTTTGGATTTTTGTCTGTTTGTTTTTTTGATATGCAGTCTTGCTCTATCTCTGAGGCTGGAGTGCAGCAGTGAAATCTCAGCTCACTGCAACTCCCCCCGCCCCAGGTTCAAGCCATTCTCTTTCCTCAGCCTCCAGAGTAGCTGGGATTGCAGGTGCACACCACTACACCCAGCTAATTTTGGGGGGGGTCGTATTTTTAGTAGAGACAGGGTTTTGCCATGTTGGCCAGGCTGGTCTTGAACTCCTCACCTCAGGCAATCCCCCTGCCTCAACCTCCCAAAGTGCTATTTTACAGGCATGAGCCACCACACCACACCTGGCCTGCTCTTGTTAATGAAATCTTCCTGTTAGTAATTCTCTTCCTCGAACTATTTCTTTATAATTTTATTATATTTTAAGTTCCAGGATACATATGCAGACTACTTCTTTTACAGAATATTGACTCCTTTTTCTCAGCTTCCTTCTTTTCTGACAATATACATTTTTTCCTGTCATCTTGTCAATTTGAGAATTATAATGACTACCTATACTCTGATGATGCTCCAAGCTTTAGATATAATTCAATTGTTCTGCTCTCAATTTGGACTAATATACCCAAGTATCTTCTGGGCATGCCTAATTTTGTATTTCCCAAATTAGAATATAATCACTTCAAGTATTTTTTTCACTTGAATCTCTTTTACACAGAATGCATCCACGTGAGCTCACATTTCATTCTAACTTTGCAGTTCTATATTTTTATTATAATAAAATAAAACGATTCTATTTTTAAGTCAGATTCTTTTGCAGATAATGAAATAGACTTCTAGGATTTGGACTCTCTTCTAGGACCCTCTAAACCCTAACTCTTCTCATTAGAGTAACTTGGAAGTATGGTATTTGTTTCCACTAACACCAAAAGGTACTATTAACGTCTCAGCAGGTATTGCATGCTTATGTTGCCATCCTTATACTGCTCTTTGGTGATTATTTGTCCTCTAAGTAAAATGCTTTTTTTTATTTTTCAAGAAATATATTTCTGTCATGAAGAAAAATGCACATCTTACATCATTACTGCATAATGGTATGACATATTGTTTCCCAGCAGTGTTCTAAAACTAGGTGTTACAGGATATGAGATTGCAAAAAACTACAAAAATGTCACCTTTGTGTTTATTTCCTGTCCTTGTTTCTGGTTATCAAGCATAATTCTCACACTTTCTAGAGTGTTTACTTTCAAACAATAAATTAATAATGCCTCTATATTAATGTTACAAATTAAAATAATAATCTAGTTTATTTTTATTGAAACATAATTGATGTACGTATTTGGGGAGGTACATGTGGTAATTTGATACACTCATATAAGCAAATCAGGGTTAACTGGAATATTCATTGCTTTAGATGTTGGTCTTTTTTTATCCTAGAAACATTCAAATTGGTTTCTTCTAACTATTTTCGAATATACAATCTATTATTGTAAACTATAGTCATCTGATTTATCTATCAAACACAGTCTTATTTCTTCTATCAAATTATGTATGTACCCGTTAAACAACATACGTTCATCTTTCTCTCCAGACTCCCCTTCCTGGTCTCTGGGAACCACCAATCTATTCTCTATCTTTATGAGATCAACTTTTCTAGCTCCCACATACAAGTGAGAACATGTGATATTTGTCTTTCTGTGTTTGGCAAATTTCACTTAGCCAATAACCTACAGTTTCATCCATCTTGCTACAAATGACAGGATTTCATTCTTTTCTATGGCTGAATAATGGCATCATTATATTTTTAAATGAGTTTATACTTCTTAATTTATAGAAGAGTAGTTAGCTTAAATTACCAAATGCTTTAGAGTATTTACATTTTTATATTACTTTCTATCACAAGAGCCACATTGCCCATATAATTTCAGTGCCTTGTATAGTGCTTAACAACTATGGTTTGAAATAATGAGTGAATAAAGAAATGAACTAAACAAAAATGGAAGGAAAGAAAAAAGGGAGACTGGGCATGGTGGCTCACGCCTGTAATCCCCGCACTTTGGGAGGCCTAGGTGGGCAGATCATTTGAGGTCGGGAGTTCAAGACCAGCCTAGCCAA